CTCGCTGGTGCCGGCCCTGCTCTAGATATGTTGCATGGATTCATGCATGTCATCCTCCCAACAACCTTATGAGACAGGTACTAGCATTCCATTTTATGAACACAGAAACTGAGGCACAGAGAGGTAAAGTGACTTGTCCAAGGCCACATGGCAAGCGTTAATGGGGTTTATTTCCGGGTAGCGGAATTGTGGGTGTTTCCCGTCTCCTTCTTTCATTGATGCTCCGCATTCTCCAACCCTCCCACCCAGGATCGTGCATTGCTTGGGAAATCAGATAAAAAGAAAACACCTCTCCTGGGGGCCAGCCTCCTGCCTACTCCCCAACACACCCACCTCCGAGGCCTCAGGGAGGCTGGGCCCTACTTCCCTCGCCAGCCTGGCCTTCCTCCCCCCTGGTGCCCTCTCCTCTGCAGTCACAGCTTCCCAAGGAACTCTCCTCCCCTTGGCTCCCCGCCTTTGCTCCTCTGGTACCCCCTCCTGGCATGCCCTTCCCCTCATTCCTGCCTGGTGAACAGCTCACTGTGGCTCCAGGCCCTGGGTCAGAGGCTGCTCACCCACGAGCTCTCCTGGGCCCAGGCAGGCAGCCTCCCTGTGCCCTTCACCCACTGCACTTTGCCTCCTCCTGAGGCCAAGGGGCCTGTTCTGTCCCATCAACAAACTTGTCAAGGGCTTTCCAGGTGCCAGGCCCTGCCAGGGACACCCACTCATTCCTCCTCAAAACAACCTCCGTCAGCCTCACGCTGGCCTCCACAGCTCTGCATGAAGGACCCTGCCATCCCTCTGTTCTCTCCCCATGTCATCCCTGGCAGCCTCGACCTTAGCCACGCCAGCTCCTCGCTCTTTCCCTAACACACTGAGCTCTGTCCTGTCTCAGGGCCTTTACATTTGCTGCTCCTTCTGCCTGGAATGCTCTCTAAGCACCCCCTTCATTTTCTTCTTTCTCCCATGCCAGAATTTCAACTCCAGGAGCCCAGAGCCCGTCCCGGGCCCACAGTAGGTGCTTGCTTGATCCTGACTATGTGAATATACACCCAGGCCCAAAGAAGTCAAGCATCTTGCCCAAAGTCATCCACCAAGTAAGGGACAAAGCACAGAGCTTTTTTTTTTTTTTTTTTTTTTTTTGGCCCGAGCATCTTACCCCTCAAAGGCTGTAAAATCGACATTTGCCCATCTGTCCCCCCAGAGTGCAGTGATAAGCAGACAAGATAGCTAAGCCTGGGGCTCACACAGGCATTGATTCTAATATCTATTCTGTTTTCTGGGCAAGTAATGTCCCCTCTCAGAGCCTCAGGTCCCCACTGTGTACAACAAGACTCCTAACTAACTCTTGGTCTCAGAGGACACCCAGGAGGGGCTCGAACTCTGACAGGTGGGGGCCCCAGAAGCTCTAGTCTCCCCAGCAGCCCCCAGCCTCCCTCACTCCCCTGCACATGGCCACAGCCAATACAAGGCTGAAAACCCCCAAGGAGGCGCAGCCAAATGGACAGCTGGAGCTGCTGGGACTCCCTCAGGGGTCACCCAGCAGGTCAGCCAGGCCAGGAAAGGAGCAGGGAGAGGAGGGCAGGAAAACAGAGCAAATGAGAAATTTGGGACCATGGGCAGAGACAGGAGGAGAAGGCTTCTCAGGTTCAAAGGTAAGACATGAATTCAACTCTCACACAAGTCACTCATCAGCTGTTGGGCCAGTGACTTCGTCTCTCTGTGCCTCAGTTTCCCCAACTGAGGAAGTGGAATGATAAACAGCACTCAAGTCATTGGGTTACTGTAAGAATAAAAGCCACATAAAACACGGTAACACCCAGCACAGCATGCGCATGCCCAATAAACCAAGGCCTGTCTCCCTCACACCTCACCTGGCTCAGGTGTCTGCTTGAATGCCACCTCCTAGGAGGCCTTCCTGGACCTCCCAGCCCCTCCCTGCCCCACTTCCCTTCCTTCGGAGCCCTTGTCCCCACTTGTCATTAACCTCATTCTAGTTACCGGACACTTAGGGTCTGCCTCTCTCCATAAATTGCCCCCTCTGTCTTGGTCACCACGTCCTCAGCACAGAGCATCGGGCCTGGCACCTGGCAGGTGCTCAGCAAATGCTTGCCAAATAAATGGGAAAAGTAACTGGACAAATAAATGTCTCAGAAACAAGGACAAAACAATCCCAGGCACTCTGGGGGAGGAAGACACCTTTAAGTGTTTCCACGGGGGAGTCTCCCTTCTCTTTCCTACCCCAACTCCCACCATTCCCAGTTGTGCCACCTTGGACAGGTCCCTTCCCCTCTCTGAGCCTGTCTGCTTGGCAGGAAAATGCCCATAACCAAAGCCACAGCCTCCAAGAGGGGGCTGGGCTGATTCAACTGGCAAGCACCCAGCAGTGTTTCCAGCTTTCACTCTGGACGCCCACTTTTCTCCTTGATAGAAATCACCAGGCCGTGGGACAACTGCCTAAGATTAGGAGGTATGAATGTGTTTTGTCAACTCTCGCAAACACTGGTTGGGGTTCCCAGCTAGCCTCAGTGGTCAACCCCACTAAATGGGTCTGTGGTTAATGTGACCAGCCTTCTTAGGCAGACAGAAGGATCCAGCAAGTCCATCTGAGCCAAGGCCTTGGAGTGGCACTTTGCCCATCGTAAGCAATGAACTCACACCCACTGTTGTTACTATTCCTCAAGGCTCTTCTCTGGCCTCCTGCCCCCCCACCCCCACCCCAGTGCTCCTTCCCCCAGCCTACTCTTTTTTCCTGACTTGTGAATGGCTTCCTCCCTCCTCCCTGCAAGCCTTTAGCCCTCCTAGCCTTGTGATCCATGGGGTGGCTGTTCCCCCACCTATGACATCTCCCAGAGTCCTTTGGGCAGAGCTCTGTCCACAGTGCTCCCACACCAGGCCACCCAGACCACCAGCAGAGCCCTCAACCTGTTAACTTTTTCCCAACCTTCTTCAGAGGGGCTCAGGGTCAAATCCCCTTTCTTTTGCTTCCAAATTGTGAAACTGTGTGTAAGTCACTTGACTCTGGCATTTGGGGCACCTGAACTTGGGGCCGGGCAAGGAGTCATCCAGGAAGGGCCCAGGACTGAGGGCAGGAGCTAGGATCACAAAACAGGCTCTCGACCCCAAGCTTTCCCCACAGACCTGGGGGTCAGACCTAACTTTGGAACCGGCTTCACCCCATTCCTTGGGCACTAACCTCACTTTTGGGGGCCGCAGTTTACTCTTCTAAAATGGGTACAACACCTTCCCTGGAGTGCTTCCGTAGGTTAAATCCGGATGTGAGTGTGTAAAGGGCTGTACTCAAGGCTGGCTCGCAAGACAGTGCTCAGGAAAAGGAGGCTTGGGGGTCACTGTGTGGCTAGGCTGCTTCCCTCTCACCTCCTCTGGGTGTAGCAGCAGCCACCGGCCAACTCTGAGTGACAAAGAGGAGAGCGGGGATTGGGAAGATGCATTCCTAAATCGTGACCTCCCCACCCCCCTGGAAAGACAGCCCCAGTGCCACAAACAAAAGATGCTAGGGCTCGGGGTGGGGGGGTGCTGGGGGGGGTAGTTTGCCTTGACACTCAGCTCCATGATGGTGGGAGCTGCTTGTCTCTGTCACCGATACCCGGGGCTCCCACAGAGAAAGCACATCCAGGCCTCCAGAAGGAAAAGGGGGGGGGGGGGAGCCTTTCCTCTTCTAAAATCACCATACCAGCAGCTGCTCCCAAGACCCCAGGCTGCCCCAGGCCCTTGGCAAACCAATCTATGAAGCTCCCATTTGACCCCACCCCTGAATTCCAAACCACCTTCGTACCCTTAGGGATGTGACAAAAGACTGCTCCACGGCTCTAAAACCCGGCCTCATAATAGTACCCACCTGTGCAAAGGTTGTCAGGAGGCTTACGTGAGATGGGTTAGGTCCAGGACTTACTAGACACCCGACCCCTGGCAGGTACCCGCCACACTCTCGCTGCACTGAAGACTGGTTGCCAAATGCCAGGAACCTCCCAGCAAAAAATAATAACAAGAGCAAACGCTTATATAATACCTCCCGTGTGCCAGGAACAGCGGGACGCCGAACGTGTGTCCACGCTAACCCCTCCGTGTCCATCCTCAGCTCTCAGGAATGCCGTCCAGGGCTGGAATGGCCGTGGGGGTGCAGTGCAGGGGCACGGGAGGGTATCAGGAGGCAGGGAGGCAGAAGCCTCACCAGGGGTCCCTTCTGTCCCAAGGAATCAGAGACAGCGGTCCCAAGTTCAAACCAGGCCCGGCCATCATGAACAAGCAGGTGAGGCTGGACCTTGGTGTCCACACTTGGGCTAAGAAGACAAGTGGTAAACCTCCCACCCCCCCCCCAAGAAAAGAGAATGGAAATGCAAGAACCCTTCCCCCACCTCCCTCCACCTGGCCCAGCTTCTCCCCTCTGGCAGGCCAGGGACACACAAACACAAGCTCGCCCACACACCCAGGCTCCTCTTAAAATAAATATATACACACACAAAGCATTTTTTAAACAGCCCGCCCAACTACACTTAAGAAAAAGAATCTGCCCCAACTTGGGCTCAGCAGGACCAAGACCCGTACCCCCTCCTCCTACATAACCTGGCCTGCTGGCCTGATCCCCAAACACTGTACAAAGGTCCCAGACCTGCAGGCCCCTCTAAAGCCAAGCCTGGCACTCAGGACCAGCCGGCCGCCCTAGACCTCTTCCCAAGCAGGGTTCCCAGTCACTCCTCCCCAGCACCCAGGGGCGCTGAGTCACTCTGAGAGCCTGACCCAGCACTCCTCTGTCTGCCCCCTCCAAGCCTGGCACCCCCATCTCCAAGCACAGGCCCTGGAGGGAGTAGCAGAGGAGGGGGAAAAAAAAAAAAAAAGAAACAGCTGTTAGCACCCCACCCAACCACCAAAAAAGCCAAAAATAATAGAACCCCCCCAACACACAACAACCCCCCACCAGGAAAGCAACATAAAATCATACAAACCAAAAATAAAGAAAAAAAATCAAAAGCCAACTACTGCCCCCAAAAGGCTTTTAACCATTCTCAAAAAAAAAAAAAGTTTATTAAAAGTGTTCTTAATGCTTGAAACGGAAAAGATTTCCAAATATACAGACGCCTCTTTTCTCATAGAAATAGATAATTTTTTATAATACAAAAAAAAAAAAAAAAGACCAAAAAACAACAACAACACAACAGCAACAGCAACAACCCCGTAGGAACATCTTTAAGCGATTACTCAGGGCCCGGCTGACAGTTACACGTGGGTTGCGTCAGTCCCGTGTACACACGCGTTCAGCCATGTTTAAACCGATTGCATCAACTTCGAAACCGGCCCGCCCGCCGGCGCCGGCACAGGAGGCAGAGGGGGACGCAGAGAGTTTATCATTCATCTGTACACATAGACATTTCTTCTTTAAATAACACCACGGGCGGGCGCCCCATCTGCATGTGCGGTTGGTTTGGACAAAAATATAGATATAGATATAGATAATAAAATATTAAAATTACCCGCGAGCTCCCCGCGCTGCCGAGTGCCCCGGTGCCAAAGTTTTGCCGGCGCCACCAGGGGCGGGGGCGGGAGCGCGGGCGCGGGCGCTTCCCGGAGTCTCCGCGGCCGCGGCGCGCCCAGCAGCGCGGAGGCCGGCCGGCAGGGGGACGCGCGCGGGGGCCGCGCTAGCAGTGGCCGGAGGAGGCGAGCAGGGGCTCGGGCAGCTGCTTGAACAAGTTCCGCAGGGTGCTGAGCTCGCGCGACAGCTGCTCCACCTTCTTCTGCAGCCGCTCGTTCTCGGCCGTGAGCTCCAGGACCTTGTGCTGCGTCTCCAGGTTGCGCATCTTGGCCTTGTCGCGGCTCTTGCGCACCGCGATGTTGTTGCGCTCGCGCCGGATCTTGTACTCGTCGCTGTGCTTGTCCACCGTCTTCTTGGCCTTGCTCTTGACCTGCGAGGGCGCCGGCGCCGCCCCCGCATAGCAGGCGGCCGGGGGCGCCTTGGCGTCGGCGGGGCTCGGCGTGCCGGGCGGGCTGGATGACGAGGACGTGGACAGGCTCCCGCTGCTGCCGCTCGGCACCGCCTGGTAGCCGAGGTAGGCGCGCAGCGCGTACGGGAAGCCAGCCGCCATGCCTGCGGCACCGCCGCCCGGCGCTCCGGCCTCCTCCTTCCGCTTGCAGTCCGCGGGCTCGAAGCCCGGCTCCGCCTTGAGCTCGGCGGGCTGCGGCGGCGGCGGCGGGGGCGGCGGGTGCAGCGGCGCGAAGCAGCCGGGGTGCAGCGCGCCCTTAGCGGCCCCCAGGCGCCCCAGGCTCACGTAGCCGTACTCGGACGCCTTCTTGCAGTTCTTGCCCCCGTAGTCGTCGGAGAAGAGGTCGGAGAGGAAGTCGTGGTGCTGCCCGGAGGAGGCGGGCGCGGGGGCGGGCGCGGGCGGAGCCGCCTCAAAGGTGTCCGTGGCGGTGGCCGGCGCCGGGGCCTGCGGCGCGCCCAGCGGCTCCAGGTACGGGCTGAAGTCGATGGCGCGCTCGTGGTCGCCGATGCTACCCAGCTCGCCGGCGGGGGGGCGCGGCCCGGGTCTGGCCGCGGGGGGCGCCGCGGGGGCCGCCTTGCCGGCGTACGCAGCAGCCAAGCAGTCCGCCTCGTAGTAGAAGTTGGCCACTTCCATGGATTTAAAGGCAGGCGGCGGCGGCAGGGGCAGACATGCTGGGTCCCAGGCCACCAGGCGTTGCATGAACGCGGGTGCCCGGGGAGGGGGCCTGGAGCTGCCCGCTCCGGCCGGCCCGCAGGTGGCGCGGCCTCCTGGCTCCGGACTGTCGCCGCTGTGTCGCTGCTGCTGCTGCCGCTGCCGCCGGGGTGGCCGCTACTAGTGCGGGGGCTGACGGCTGGACCCTCGCGTGGGTCCTCTTCCCGGTCCCGTGCGCGGCTCTGACTCGCTAAAGTTTCTCCTGAGCCCGGTTATTTATAAAGGCGGCCCATGGCAACGGCTGCGTCACGCTGGCAGCCGCCCCGGCCCCTCCCGCCGCCGCCGGGACGCGGTGTGGCGGCCCGAGACCCCCGGGAGGGCGTCGGCGGGGCACGGCGGCCAGACCCGAGACCGGCAGTGCGCCCTCGGGGGTCCGCGGGTCGCGGGGGGGGGGGCGGCCTTACGCCCCCTGCCCACCCCCACCCGGCGGCCCCGGGATTGGGAGCGAGAAGGGGAGGCGCGACCCCGCCCCCGGACCGCCCTCTCTGGGCTGGAGGCTGTACTGGAAGGGGGTGGAATCCGGGGAGGGGGCAACGCGATCGCCTTCCCCCACCCAAAACACGGCCGCCGCCCGCCCCCTGCTGGAGGAGGCGGTGGCTTCAGGATCGGCGGCGCCCAGCCCGGACGCCCCACAGACTAGGCGCTCCCCATGCCGGATCCCGGAGACCCCAATCCCCGGCTCTGGCTCCTGGAGAGGTGACCCGTCCCCACGGCCCTCCCCCGGGCGCGGCCCCGCCCCCAAACTTGCCCCCATCCCCAGCTCTCGGAAGGAGGGGATTCCACGCTGGTGGAGACTCCCCTCGTAAAGCCACGTCCAATACAAGGACCCGGGTCGGAGTGGGGAGGGATGGAGGTCAGTTCAAGGGAGCACTCCACCCGGGCCTCTGGGGCGGCGACTGCGCCCCTCCCCTAGCCCCGCCCACCGGACCTGCCCGCCCCCTTAGACCACACCTGGGTCTTCTCTGGCCCCACCCGACCCTGACCTGGGCCCAGGGAGGTGGAAGGGGGCGGGGGTGCTAGACTCTACCACATTATGCGACCTTGGGCGAGTCACTTTACTTCTCCAACCTCCAGCCATGAAGGTCCGTTACAGTTATCATTAACTGTAATACTGTCTCCACCAGACTCCCAAACATAAGGCTTCATTTTTAAGTCCACTCCGGGAGGCACAACAGAAAGAAGCCACCCCCTACACAGGGTACAAAGAACCCTGGGAGGGGGGGCGGGCATAAGACACCCAAGGTCACATGGCCTCATGTCCCCCACTAGTCTCAAAAGAAGAGTTCTTGTCAGGGCACCCTAAGACCTATTTGCCAACCTGAGGCCAAAACCCTATTTCTGAGGCTGGGGGTGGGGATGTCAAGCCAGACCCCACTGAGAGCTATGCAGGAGAGAGAAGGGACTTCCCCCATTGTTACCAAGTCCCCACTTTGTATTGAGGGTGGGCCTGGACCCAGGGTTCCCTTCTCCACCACGGCAGGAGGATGCTTCTGCTACTCCTGGTACACAGATGGGAAAACAGGCCATGGCCCATCCTGGATTGGAACAGTGGGCTGTGTAGGCTCAAGGGGCCCCTTGCCTCTCCAGCCCCATGCCCAGGCCATTTGGGCAGATCCTTGGGCCCACCCCTCTGCCACTCCCGGCCCAGGCCGCCCAGGCAGGAGCTCCCAGCCTGCCTGGGGATAACCCCCGGCCCACTGACCCCAGCCCTGGCCCTGGCGGGCAGGCAGGCATTGCTCAACCTTCAGTGTTATCTGCTGAGCTGGGGTGACCTCCGCCCCAGAGAGCTGGAGAAATGACATCTCCAAGCGCCCTTGGGGGTGGAGGGGAGCAGGGAAGAACAGGATGAAACACTGACCGGGCCTGCTGGCTTTCTGGGCCTTCCCAGCAGCCACTGGGCTAGGGAGAGATCTGAGGCCCCAGGGCCACTCAGCCAGGCCTTCCAGGCTGCAAAGTAGGACGCTCAGAGCTCAGCAAAGTGGGACACTCACACCACCTCCAAGAGGCCCTCCTGGCCCCACCTGCAAGTGAATTTCCTTACCAGCCTGTCACCAGCTACCGTTACCCTACTTGTGCAGTCTACCTCAGTCTCCCCCCCACCCTCCCCAAAAGACTGCCCGTTCTATGACGGCTGGCCCGCAAATACTGGGCCTCCTCGGCTGGGCATGATCAAAAGTCACAAGTAGTGAATGCATCTGCTGTTCCCTCTGGACCAAGAACACTGGTCCCCTAGCTCTGCTCAAGGCAACTCCTCAGGGCTCAGCTCAAAGGTTACCTCCAAGAAGCCCTCCTTAACCTCCCCGTTGGAAGTCCCAGACCCTCAGTCGCTTCTTCCACATTCCCGTATTCTCTTTACAATCAAAAGTATCTCCCCTATGCATGTGGCTTTCTGTCCCCACTGCCCCCTCCCCACGTCACCCCCACCAGGGCAGGGATTCTTGTTTTGTTCATTGCTGTGCCCCAGTCCCTAGAACAGTGCCTGACACGGGGAAGATGCTCAATGTATGGAGGAGGCGGAGAAAGTGAGGTCACCCGCGTGCTGGGCTATGTAACCCCAGGCAAGATGGCTTCCTTCTCTGAGCCTCAGCAGCCCGCCCCCCCACATGCGCACAGGCGTTCTGGGGAGATTGCAGTGAGACCTGGGGGGTCTGAAGCTAATTAGAGGATTTGCTGTGTGTCCTCAAGCACATCTTCCACCCTCTCTGAACCACATTTTAAGCTCTCCACATGTATTAACTCATTTAATCCTCCTGATAACTTATAGGAAACAGATCCCATTATCTCCACTTTACAAATGAGGAAACTGAGGCCAAGGTCACATTTAAGGGGTGGGAAGGACTAAAGTCTTTCCAGGCTCACCTTCCCCCTTCGGGCTTGTAATAAATCATAACGGGTCTGGGGGTGTGAACCCCATTTTCTGAATGGAAGAACTGAGTTCCAGAGGAGGGTGCCCTGGTGTCGAGTCGAAGGGCCCTGGAGTGAGTCGAGGGGCAACCTGATCCTAGTGTCCAGCCCCCAAGGACCAGACTCACCCCATCAGGGTCTTGTTCTGCTGGCCCCCAGGATGGACTTCACCCACCAGACACTGAGCCTTTTGCTTCCCTGCTCAAGATTCTCCACGCTGGCCTGACGGAGAAATCTGCGGCCACCCCAGGTGCCTGCAGAGGCTGCGTGCTTGGGTGACGTAAGCCCTTGTGTTTACAAGCCTCATTGCTCAACAGGCCCTGCCTGCTGCCGCGCCATGAACACTCAGCCTCCCCTCCAACGAGGGTCTGATGGGCCAGCAACTACTAGGGCCCAGAGGCCACCAGCACGCCCCCGTGGTCCTGCACCAGGGACAGCCCAGAAGCCGGGTTCCACCTGACACCACCCACAATGCCCTCTACCGGTTACTGTCCCCCCCAGGTGTCTGTCAGAGCCTGGGTGGGGAAGGGTCTCAAACGGGCAGCCAGAAGTCAAATCCAACCCACAGATGTGTTCAGTGTAACCCCCTGCGTTTTGCTTTGTTGTGTGTGGTTTTTTTTCCTAATGAATTAATTGCCAACATTTAAAAATCAGGAGACTTCACATCAAAATTCCAGTTTTCAGCTTCTCTTTTAAAACCAGAATCCGTGGGCTGGGCCTCTGTGGCTGTAAGTGTGGGCAGGAACCAGGCGGGGGCTGTGGAGGAACAGGCTCTTTCCTACCCGGATACACACCCTCCTCTGCCCCCAAACTGCTTTCAAAAAATCCCTTCTCCCAGCCTCTGCAGCTTCTCCCTGGCCCCATTTTCAGGAGGAGAAAACCAAGGCAACTTGCCCAGAGGGAGTCCCAATGTCGCTCCTTTGATGGAGAATGGTCAAAGGTGTTCGCAGGGGGTAGAAATCAGCCTGCTGGTAGAAACATAAGGCTGAAAGAGGAACCATCAGAGATGGTCCATGGAGCCGGTCTCTCGTGGATCTGGAATGGGGGGCCTGCAAGGGGTGGGCTTTGGTTCCTGTTCTGTACCCTCCTTACTGGGACACTCCAGTGTGTCCTCTACACCTCAGTCCCTGGTCTACAGAACGGGATAATAATACCCCTCTGTCTTGGGCATTCTGAGCCAGCAGTTCCCCTCCCACTGGCCCACTGTGACACATGGGAATGCATCTCCTTAGTACCCCGAGAGGGCCTGACCCTGGTAAGTCATGGAAGCCTCACAAAGTAGGCTGATGGGAAACAGGTCCAGAGAGGGTTAGGACCTTCCCCTAGGTCACAGTGAACCAGTAAAAGAGCCAGACTGAAAAGCCAGATCCCTGATTCCAAGATTTTCCCCACTACGCCTCCTCTTTAAAGCTTCACTTTCCCCATCTACCAACTGGGGCTGAAATTAGATCCCTGAGGGCTGCCGAGCCAAATATCCTGGGATCCAGGGTTTTGGAGTCCTGGGAGATGCTCAGGGCTGGCTCGTGAAACTTGTCTGTGCATATGCTGCCACCATGTGGCGGGCTCTGGGAATGCAGGAGTGATTTAAGTGCATCCTCTTGCTTTGGGATACAGAGGTAGGCACTATGGCTATGATAGATATTCACAGGACAGGAGCAGGCTACTGAAAGAAATAAAAATGTCCAACGAACCAATGTCTACAGACAAAAGGTGCTCATTTTCACTTAGTCATTCATCAAATAGTTTTTGGCATCTACGGTGGCTCATGCCCTAGAAACATATTCACGAACAAGACAGAGCGATTCCTGTTTTCACGGTGTTGACATTCTCCTTGGAGAAGACAAACAAGAAACAAGATAAATGAGTAATGTATACATTGTGTTAGATCCTGGTAAACACCCTGGAGAAAAATACAGCAGAGGAGGGGAATGAGGAGTGCAGGAGGGGGGGTGGGGGCCTGGCGTGGATTTTTGACTTTAGAGTGGTCAGAGGAGGGGGAACGGTAAGTGCAAAGGCCCTAACGTAGGAGCATGCCTGGCCCATGTAGTTGCTGTGGGTGGAGTAGGTGGACAGTAGGAGGAAATTATTTCAGAAATAATAAGGGCCAGGGGTGCCTGGGTGGCTCAGTCGGTTAAGCATCTGACTTCGGTTCAGGTCATGATCTTGGGTCCCGGGTCGGAGTCCTGCATCGGGCTCCCCGCTCAGCAGGGAGTCTGCTTGTCCCTCTCCCTCTGCCCCTCCCCCTACTTGTGGTCTCTCTATCTCTCAAATAAATAATCTTTTTTTTTTTAAGATTTTTATTTATTTATTCATGAGAGACAGAGAGAAACAGAGGGAGAAGCAGGCTCCCAAGGAGCGGGAAGCCCGATGCGAGACTCGATCCCAGGACCCTGGGATCGTGACCTGAGCCGAAGGCAGACGCCCAACCATCTGAGCCACCCAGGTGCCCAATAATCTTTTTTTAAAAAAAGAAA